CGGGGCGCCCCCCGAGGGATGTGTTCCAGCCCTGCCACTTTGCTGGAGTTTATCTTCCACAGGACTGTGCGTACCTGGCCTGGTGAGACAGTGAGTGGAGGGGAGGGGGGGTTGGGTGGTCCAGGTGTGTGCGTGCTTCTTCTCTGTGTTGTAGCTGGAGATCTCAAAACGGGTGTAGAAGGTGTCTGTGGAGCTGATGATGCTGGTGGTGGTCCTGTAGTCTGTGATGTGCCGCAGGCCTTGGCACATCCGTCCAGAGTCAGCAGTAGAATAGAAGCCATTCAGCTTCTCTCTGTACTGCCTCTTGGCCACTGTGATGGCTTTTCTCAGTCTGTACTGAATGCATGAGAGCGAGCACGCATGTGACGTACCTGACTGTTTATCCAGGGCTTCTGGTTGGGGAACCTCCTGACTTGTATGGTGGGCACAGTGTTGTCAGTACAGGTACTAATGTACCCGGTCACATACTCAGCATAATCCTGTACACTGACAGAAAGGTCCTCCAAGGTGGCTGCAGCTTTAAACACATCCCAGTCTGTCTGGGCAAAACAGTCCTGCAGGGTGTCTTCAGTCTCTAGGGTCCAGAATTTAATTTGTTTGGTGATGGGGTTTGTTTGTTTCAGTCTTTGTCTGTAAGCTGGATACAGGAACTAAAAAATGTGGTCTGAATGTCCAAGGTGTATGCACCTCGTATGTTACTGTAAACATGATCCAGAGTGTTCTTGCCCCGGGTGGGAATGTTCACATGTTGGTAATATTTGGGTGGTACAGACCATAAATTGGACTGGTTAAAGTCGCCTGCAGCAATAAATATAGCGTTGGGGTGAGCTGTCTCTAGTGCTGATGATGTCGTGGAGTTTGCTGAGAGCCGCCAAGGGATTAGCTCTTGGGCCAACGTACACATCAGCCAGAAACACAGCACTATGCTCTCTTGCTAGATAATAGGGCCGGCATTTCAGTGATAAAAACTCCACTTCTGGCTAACATCAGTCCGTACAGCTCCACACCACGAGTTATTGATCAACACAAACACACTGCCTCCTTTTACCTTCCCCGAAGCAGCAGTGCAGTCTCCCCGATGTACAGAGTGGGTCTGTAGCTGAATCATGGAATCTGGAACTTTGTCAGAAAGCCAAGTCTTGGTGAGAATTAGAGCACAGCATTCTCTTATTTCCCGTTGTGTTGTAATGCTAGCTTTTAGATCGTCCAATTTGTTTTCCAGGGACTGTACGTTAGCTAGGAAGAGGCTGGGTAGTGGGTAGCACGAGCTTTTAGCCTAGCATGGAGCCCTCCTCTCTTGCCCCATCTGCATCTCCGTCTCCGGATCGCTGTCCTGGGGTCAGCCTGCTAACTCATGCTTGGTGCTCCCCAGGGGTGATGGTGGTTGTTGTTGTTGTTGAAGGAACAGACAATGAGTTGTAGCTCCGGTGGTATGAAACCAGTAAATTCCCAGTGGCTGTGTGAATTGGCGATATCCAGCAATGCCTGTCTGTTGTATGTTAGCAGTGCATGACATTTGTGTACTGCAGAAAGAGTTTAAAAACACACAAAAAAGAAGAAAACAAATAAAAAGGCGGCATTTGGGAGTGGAACGCGCAAACATGCGCCATGATACATCATACATACATAAAGGATGCCATCATTTTAATGAGCTTAGCTCCATGAACCTCACTGTCTAGCCCTTCACTCGTGCCTGAATCCAACACTTGCATATGTCATTTCTGTCCTTTCACTACACTCCACTTGTCGCTACTGCCCTCTCACTCCATAGCTCCTGCTTCACTTTCCAACTCATCATTTACTTCAGCCCACAGTCTTCCATTTCCAGCCCAGTCACCTGCAAACTGCCCAGACATTCCAAACGCCTTACTCCAAGCCCTATGTGAGTGTGTCTTCACCCTGTGACATATTGTAAAACTCGGAGCTGTCTGTCATTTCAAAAGAAAGCATGTGACTGGTTGACTATGATGTCATAGAACACAGCCTGGGAGCATGTTCTTGTGCTTCGACAGGTTCACAAACTCAATCTCTGGCCTGGAAAGATGAAGCAGGAAGGGTATAGCCTGCAGTCGTCTTGAGTCACATTAGTCTTTAGCATGATTCACAGCCTGTCAAAATCAATGCTAAAGTTTAAAGAACTACCAATAAACACATGCCAGGCAGAGGATTGCAGAACAAATCATAGTAGCTTTATGGATATTTGTCAAGGATTACGCATCACCAAAGGTTTGGACTGTTTTTCATTCAGTGGAATGTTACCAAACTAGGAAGCTAAAAATACCAGAAATACAGTTGCCTGATGTGATGACGAAATAGGTATAATGCTACCGTTTGGCACTGTATAAACCCTAATGAAAAACAAGGAACAGATTTTTCTCTGAAAGTAGAAAATGGTTTGGTTAGAAAATGTTTTCTACCATTTTCTAAAAAATGCACCATTAAAATCATGAGGCCTTGTGCTTTCTAATGATGTGTATGTTATTGCTGTATGTTGCATATATATTATGTCATGAGGCAATATGTTGACAGCGCATTAAACTGACCCAAATATGAACCTCAGTGTGATGTTTGAGAGTATATACTCTACAACATATGCAATCCTAACGATTACTCCAGAAGCAGCAACCTTTATATTTTCAGGTATGTTATCTAAGACCAATTTACCTTTCACAAAGACCTCATTGTGCACTCTTGCATCTATCCCTGGATTTGCATGTTCTATACTAAGCATATAAAACATCCATCTCAGTAGCTGTGTCCTTGTGAAGCCCTTTGGTCTGAGATAAATAATGTAATAATGTATAATGGGTAGCATGCACATTATCTCATATTCACTACCTCTTATGTAGTATACAGTGACTCAGGTCTCAGTACCTACTTTAGTCTGTAGTCAGCACTTTCTCAGAGGTATTGTTAATATGGTTAAAGACCGATTCTGTGGTTATAGTGGATAGTTATTGGATAAAATTGGTATTATAAAATTTTTTTTCAATCAACAAACCCTATATGCGGAGCCAAACCAACTCTGAATATACAGTATAGTATCCACTACAGTAATAGCTATTGTGTGTGTCCAAATACATCTAATGCATTTTATTCCTCTGCACCACAGATGTCCAAAACCTATTAAAAACACACCAGTGAGCCACACCATTGTACTGGGCAACACACACACACATACTGTAGTTTATTTTGACTCAGTCCCACACACACCACCCTGCAGTCCCAAAAACACACTACACCACCAAATGTGGATTAATCGCTTGCTGAAATTAGTATACAATTTTAGAAACAGCCTTAATATGAAATAATCAGATACTATATAAAGATAGGTCTTTGCTTTGAATGTAGCAGTGCTCTCAAATTGTTGCATTAAGAAAAAAACATTCTGTAGATTGGTGTCCTCTGCAGGAGCTAACCATGCAATGTGACAGAGCAGCCATCAGGCAGCACTGTCAGTCAGAGGAATTAATATACTATCCCTTACAAAGTGTTTTTGTTACATGTGTGACAAGACTGGAGTTAAAACAAAAACAGATTTGTAGATATACATCTAGTTTTGTCAGTGCTCTGTCCAGTCTACCATTATATACAGTATCTTGGTTGTGACATTTCTTAGCATGCAGTATGTGCAACTTAAATGACAACTTCCAGCTCATTTGCTGTTTCATTTTGGATAAAAACATTTATGTACAGGGATGTCATTGAAGACACCGAGATTATGATTTTTCCCTCTCCCCTTTAGAGTGGGGAGGGTTTACTGAGATGTACTGCTGGTACAGTGGTGTTTATTACTGTATATCTAATGTTGGAATAAACCGTGAAAGACTCTGAGCTGTAGTGACACTTCTAATGAATGAGTGTAAGGATCCATATGTCTTTGTGTGTATGTGCTCTGTAGGGAGGGTGAGGACAGAGTTTCTCTGCTTTCTGACCCTCGTATCTCCCAGCTGACCAATGGGACCATTGAGCTGTCTAACGTCAGTCATGATGACAGTGGAGTGTACACCTGCTATGTCAAAGACATCAACATCACTGCTCATTTGGAAGTCTTCAGTGAGTCTCACACACATGTTTGTGCCAAGACTCAACAGTTCAAAGTTTTTGCTAATAACTATCAAGTTTCTATGAATTAAAGTGGAAAGAGCGTGCAGATGAGTTGTACGGAATATTGTCTTTCTTTTCTTCTCATTTTATTAGCTTTTTGTTTTATCTTGCATCACAGCTGTCAGTCAGATGAATAAAATAAATGATTGTGCCATTCTGTATGAATAGTGTTAAAAAAATTTTTAAAAGTTGGTCACAAACAAACAAGTGACCTCTTCTACTGCTGATTACTTTATAGCCTTAAATTGTTCGTAGAACAAAGTCAGGGATAAAATAATATATGAAACCACTGTCCTGCTTTTTCCTGCTTCACATCAGATCGAACAGTGATACTGACAAGCCCACAGGATGTGCGTGCTCGCAGAGGAGACCCTGCTCTACTGGACTGTCGCTTCTACAGAGACCCTAGGATAAACAATTCCCAGATTGTCTGGCGGAAGGACGGACATAAAGTGCAGGAGTCGTCACCAGATGACAAGTAAACACATATATTGAGATGCTTCAGTCCACAACAAAACTAAAGGGCATTAAAGTCAAGTTATTAGCTCCATCTGGGACTGTCACCAGGCAGTGGAGGAGACAGTCCCAGTTAATAAGCCACATTAAGTGAAAACACCACTTTGGGAGGACCTTGTGTGGCTTTAATGGTACAGAAGTAAATCACAGTACTGTTAAAGAAAAACAAAATAGGTTTGCTTTACTGTAGATTGTCATTTAACTCCTGACACTAAAATTAGTTTAATTTTGAAAATATACATGATGTTGTTTGTTTGTGTAGGTACACTATCTTTGATAATGGCACATTGAAAGTGACAGATGTCCAATCAGGTGACACAGCGTCTTATTCCTGTGAGGTAATTACTGACGTAGACCATGTAGAGGCCAGCGGCTCCATCACTGTAGTAGGTATGTCACTGTATAAAGGTACATACAGTATATGTGAGTGAGACTCAGAAATGTGTTTGTGTGTCAGTGTGACAGTCTGTCTTTAGGTTCGTACACTAACAGTTTTTTGTTGGACTCTCAGCACGACCTGATCCTCCCAGCGCTCTATCACTGTCTGATGTTGCTGACCACAGCCTCTCTCTTAGCTGGATCCCAGGACACTCACACAACAGCCCCATCACAGGTAATAAACATGCACACACACACACACACACACACAAAACCCAGAGCCAAACTACATTGTGGGGACCAGCTTCCAGTCCCCACAAAGATAGTAACTCATGGATTTTGGGCCACACAAGTATTGAAAAACAAGGTCACACACATCTACACACACACAAAACCCAGAGCCATGCTTTGCTAAAGTGTATTTACTTGTCATCTTCAAAATCATTTTAGTTTTAACTTCAGTTTAAAATAGAATACATGAACCATTGCTCAAATAAATGTGATTTAGCTCCAGCTAAGTTTAAGAATTTTATACACATACCTTTAAGTCGGGCAGGTCTTATGACTATAAAAAAGACAAAAAATACATTGGACATTTTTAGGATTCAGAAATGAAGCAATTAGCTGGAAACCAATATATTTACTACCTAGAGAGAAATTTGTATTTGGCACTCATCCTCATATTTTCAAAACCTTATTTCATTGCAACGGCATGTTGATAGATACAGTATGTGTTAGTTCTAGCTAGCCAACATTACACAGAGGCTCTATCAGCTGGTACAAAGTAACACACTGAAACTGTAAAGGCGTATCAAACTGTTCAGTACAGCATTGATCTCAGTGTGATGCAATGTTTAAGACAGTGTGAGCTGTCTTATACCGTTGAACTAGATTTAAAATTCAAAGCTCTCACCAGGCTGCTCGATGCTAATAGCTAATTCTGCACACCATACTAAGTAACACTCCTTCTTGAAATAATGAAACATTTCATCCATTATCTTTGCTATTTGTGCAAAACAAGGGCTCAAAAACAACTCATGCTGATCTCATTATAGTTTGTTTGTCTGCTTGAAACAGTGATGTTGCTTGGAAACCTTGCCTCTCTTTATTGAATAAACTGTCAGTTATTTGAAAGATATTGACTACACTGTCTGTGTCCTTTTGTCAGGGTTTATCGTGGAGGCCCGGGAGGAGCAGCACACAGAGGAGGGGAAGTGGAGGTGGTTGGAGTGGAAGAGAGTGCCAGGAGACTTCAACCACCTGCAGCTAACCCTTCACCCCTTCTGCACCTACCGCTTCCGGGTCATCGCCATCAACGACTTCGGCCCCAGTGACCCCAGCAGGCCCTCAGCCCAACACAGCACGCCACCAGCTGGTGAGTGACACCAGACATTGAAGCTGAAATGTTTCATGTTGTCTGTTATCTTAAAGGAATAATTCAACATTTTGGAAAAAATGCCTTTTCACTTTCTTGTCAAGCATTACATGAGATTGTTGCCTCTATCATCATGTCTGAATACTGAATGTGAAGTTGCAGCCCCCAACCAGTAAGTACAGTATATTTTAGTCCTCAGCCAAAAAAAAATAGTCCAGCACATAACCCTCCATATAACCACATTTACACTTCAGCCATTTTTTAAACACATTTAACAAGATACATTATAACATGTTACTTTAGTGTTTGCTACCTATGAACACACCCAGACCAGCTGTCTTTATGCTGAGCTAAGTTAACCAGCTGCTTGCTGTAATTTCACACTGAACATTCATAAGAGACATGAGAGTGTATCAGTCAACTAATTCTCAGCAAGAAATCTCTTTAAAATGGGTCATGTTCTGTCTTTCCTAAGTGTCTCTCTGCTTGCATCTCCTCCCTCCAGTTCCTGACAGTAATCCCACTGGTGTGCGCAGTGAGTCCTCAGACCCAAACACTCTGATAGTTACATGGGATGTGAGTACTCTCATTTGTATACCTGTACATTTATGTGTAAGCATGCTCTGGTGTGTGCACACATGCAGTGGTGGGAAGTAACAATCTGTATGTATTCAAGTATTGTACTTAAGTACAGTTTTGAGGAACTTGTACTTTACTTGAGTAATTTTATTTATGTTAGCTAATGCTTCTTCTCCATTGGGTAACTCGTATACATTTTACTTTTAAAAGTTTTAGTTTCTCATTACTTGAATGAACAAAGAAAATCCAGCAGTACAGTTATCATACTCTACTGCAGCTATTTTTACTTTCCTTTTTAAAGATATTGCAGGATTTTGAATACAAGACTTCTACTTGCAATGAAGCATGGGTGCATGCATGTATGCCAAGTTGAATCCAGAGCCACCTTATATTGCTAAACATTTTTGCAGGAGATGGAGAAACGCTTCCATAATGGCCAGGACTTCCAGTACAAGGTGTCATGGCGTGAGGCTGGGGGTACAAGTCTACACTGGAACCACCGCTATGTGAGGTCTCCGCCATTTATGGTAAACAACACAGGAACGTACACACCATTTGAGATCAAAGTCCAGGCCGTCAACTCACTTGGAGAAGGACCAGTACCAGAGCCCGAGATTGGACACTCCGGGGAAGACAGTACGTCACCTTTAACATTTTGGATCATTCATTTCTGTTAGAAATATTGTGAAACCAAAACACAGAGATTAATATATCAACAACAGTAAACACATAATCAGAAAAAAATTAAGCACAAGAGTTTTTAACAGTAAAATATTATCAGGGATCTTTTATTAACACTAAGAGCAAACTTGTCTGTACAGATTCTCAGTCATCCAGGTCATAGTAAGTTGAAAAAAATTAGAAAAATCAACTGGACTAGGTTTTTAGGAGTCACTCATTAGGGCATCAAAGGACTGAAACACCACTGATGGGGATAAATATCTCCGACTCAATGCCAGTCGGGCAGAAGTGATGAAGCCTCTTGGATGAGAGGTGAAACGTCTTCGACCTAAAAACCTAAATTTGCAATTTTCCTGAACTTATACATATATTTTTATTAGATTATTTCGATTACAGGATATCTCACTGAACCACATTGATACAGATGGCGGTTACTGTTAAGCTTTGAGATACCCCTTCTAAAAACCCAACAAAAAGACAAGGTGAATGAACCTGTGAGCCCAGTTAAATTGTCATTGCTTGTATCTAAAGGTAAACAAAAATCTTTGACTGCTTACACATACAGTATTCTTTCTTTGCAGTCATCAATTTTCAAATTAAGACCTTGATGTATTTTATTAAAAAGTCACTAAATACTAATGATAACTGTGATAAATTCCCTCAATGTTCCAACTAAGCATAATGTTCTTTTTGAAGGAACATGTATTGATGTTTAAGCAGAGTGAAGGCACCAAATACCTGAAGACCTTTCATATGATACAAGTGAATTAAAGTAATCCCACCCTCTCAAAAAAGGGGGCAAAATTCTGTTCTTTACAAGGAAGTCATGATATACTGTACAAACACTGAGCACATCTTGCTATCAGACAGCTTTACAGTGCATTGCATTCTACAGAAATGTCAAATCCTGCGTCTCTCTTTCTTTGAAATGAGTCAGTTGAATGACTTGTCCAGATGAATGCTCTGTTGTGTTCTCATGTCATAAATGGTGGAAAATATGCAGTGTGATAGCTGAATTATGTTGGGAAAATGTCTTTAGGTTAAGAGTCAAGAACCACAGGGTCATGCCATGGATCATGTGATTGCCATGATTGTAGCTGCATATTTTTACTGTGACTTCCAAGCATTGCAGCCAGCTGCTTGTTGTCATCTTGTCTTTACATTCTGTCTTTGTCCTTCTTGTTCTCAGAGCCTGAGGAGGCTCCCACTGGAGTTGAATCATTTGTGATGAACAGCACAGTGATAGTCAGGTGGAATGAAGTCCAGAATGTCCGAGGTCTGCTGCTAGGATACAAGGTATCGTCACAACAACTCAACAGATCATCTGCTATACTCCTGAAGGAGAAAAAGCAGCTATGCTCTATACTGGCTGAAGTCACAGAAATACTTGGATGTTATAACTATCAAGGAGGCTATCATTGTGCTGTTAGTTGGACATTTTAAAATATGTAAAATTTGGAGCCAAGGAAGAAATGATTAGACTGCAGTGTCACTAACATAGCCAGAAAAAAGATTGTGGGTGTGTCACATCAGTTTTTCCCCTACAACTCAGAGTGAGTTGCTTAGCTGTTTTTGTGCATTTTGACTTTGTATGCAATAAATTAGCCTGTTCTGATGCGTAGCAGAGAGTCTGACACCAGACTATGCATGGCACAGGCTCATAGACTTACATTTAATGACTCTGAAACTATTGAGAAATGGCCTCCCTGTGCAAGTTGATGGGCAGGACAGTAAATTATTCAATTATTTCCTGAGACCTCAACGTGTCTTTAAGTTCCCTTGACCATGGTTGGTCTGCAGTGTTTACCACTGATCACAGTGCAGCTAATGGCAATGCCATCCAAAACGCAAGGTCAGCTGTTCACACTGAGTAATGTCTTTGTCTGGAGGGGGCAGTGACCCCCATTTGACTTTGTTTTGATAAGCTGCCCAAATTCTGTTTCACTCTAGGTCATCATGCGTACTTGGAGCCTGTAGTACATTTCCCACTTGCCAAAGGACCTAATACATATCAGATTTCCTTAATATTAAGTATCGGCTGATAATGACTTCAATGGGATACTTGTACTAACCCACAGTATATGTTCATTAAATATGTGACATATTGACATTAATCTGGTACACTGTCTTTTTTTCAGGAGCTTCTTGATCCAACTCCTGGATCAGGTCCAAAATATTAAGTTTATTTTAAATGTATGAATAAAAAAATAACTGGGAGGTGGACAACACACTCTCAGAACTATAGATTCATTACAGGGCAGATACTGAGTCTGCTGAAATACAGGAATGTAGTTCTAAATTAGGAACTGGATCGGTATTATTCTGGATGATACTGATCCTGTGAAATATGCCTGGATCGGCACTGATACTTGGCATTAGATCAGGGCATCTCTATCAGCAACAATTTTGATAACTGATTAATCATTTAAGATATTTGATGACATCACTTTGACATTTTCTAATGTTTTATAGACAAAATGATTGATGGAAAAATTTATCTGCAGGTGGATTTATTACAAAGTGTTTGTTTCTCTGAGCACACTTGCAGTTTTAGCAGTGGCCAACCATTATGTTCATGTAGAAGTTTCTTTATTTTAATTAATCAAAAAGCAATCAGGTCAGAAAATAATGAAAAAAGTTGTATCATCCTTAAATGTCTTAATTTTGTATGATTTGAGAGTAACACTTTACCAATTTAAAATATTCAGTTTACAATGAGAGAAAAGCATCAAATCTAGTAAAGCAAAGGATTAGTCAAAATAACTAAAATTCCATTGTAACACTAGTGCAATTGTTATTTTTGGTTCAAGCACTGGTTGAACTACATATTTAATCATTTAATTTGGTGTTTGTCCCTGTCAGATCTACATCAGGAGGTTGGGTCCACAGGGCGAGCGGGGCCGGAGGTCACTTGGAAAACTGCATCACAAAGAGAAGAAAGATGACAGACTGGAGCGAGGGAAGGAGCTAGACACAGAGAGCAGAGAGGAGTTTGTCAATGGCACGAACACCTCAAAGGAAGTGACAGGGCTGAAACTTTATTCTCGCTATGAGTTGTCTGTCACTGCCTTCAACAGTAAAGGAGAGGGCCCCCACTCTGCTCCTCACCACTTCAACACCCCAGAAGGAGGTGAGTTGTAATTGAAAAACTGCAATTTCACAATGTTACAGTAAACCCGGGCAGACACTGTGCAGTTTTATTAATCTAGTATGTTAGCGCCACTGTTTCATTTGGAATTTCTGCATGGTCAGAATATATTACTATTATGTTCACATTGTGTAGATCAGCAGGCCACAGTGTAACTGCTCACATTGAGAGCGCATGTCAAAGGTCAAGGTCAAAGTGTTTATTTGTCATATGCACAGTTAGGAAATGTGTTTCCCTGTACAATGAAATGTTTACTTTGCCGTCCACATGAATGTCACATAATACAAGTGAAATATAAAGTAGATGAGCAATAACACAAATCTAAATAGGCAGTAAAATCACAAATCTAATGCACTTTACGGCAGCAAGTGAGGGAAGCAAATACAAATACAACAAGAACACAGCATAATGCAGAGAAGAATATATGCTACATGTGAGTACAAACCCAGCAGGAAGCAGTCGGCTGGTAGGACCTCGGGTCAGAACAAACAGTGTGAAGCTGCTGCACATATGTAGATGGAACCAACTTCTGAGAAACTTAAATGGGCCCCAACTCTGCCACTTTCAAGTCTCAATTGAAACATTTTTTTTTTTTTGTAACTGCTTTCTTGCGCCTTTATTTGACTGGATTCCATGCTGTGCTTTCTGCATTGTAACTGCTAGTGTTCCAGACCTTCTGCTTTGTCTATTTGTTTTCATTTTCATTTTATGCATTTTGTCTCATTTTAACAATGCTTTTATTTTAATCTGGTTTTAAAGTTTGCTTTTAATGCTTTTACTGTTATTCTTTGCCTACAGTGTGTAAAGCACTTTGAATTGCCTTTGTGCATGAAGTGTGCTATTTAAATAAAGCTGCCTTTCCTTGCTCACACTAAAAGTAAGCACAGAATCCCCAGCTGCCAGTTTCAATAAAGTTTCTTTAAACCAATCTGGCAGAAATTCAACCCAATTCTAAAGTTATTGGGCAACTAATTCAGGACTAAAACTAGGCTTAATGCTGTGTCTAATCCAGTGTATGCCTGTCTGAAGAAATGTCCTTTTCTTTGTATGGAAATATGTGTTAACTGGTGTATATGTGTGTCTGTGTAGCTCCTGGTCCTCCGGCATCACTGAGGTTTGATAGCCCAACAGAAAATTCACTGATTCTCTACTGGACCCCCCCATCTGAAACCAATGGCGTACTGGTGGGATACATGGTGCAGTATCAACGGGGTAAGCCTTGACACTGGGTATTTGATCAGGGACTGTATGGGGTTGGGATGATAAAATAGTAATACAGCCACTTTCTAATTACCTGCTAAATAAATGCTTATTACAGCCAACTGATGGGAAAACCAAACCAACTTGTTGTTGTTTGCAATTGGCCAAAGAGCACCTTTATAACCTATGGTTCAGACAAAACAGTTGCATCTTTCTGATGTAACTGTTGGATTTTTAGACAATAAATCTGGGAAAACTTAAAATAGCCCCTAGAACATAACCCTCCCCCTTTTCAGATCCCTCTGCTCCTGCTAATAATTTTCATACAATAAGTAAGAGTTGTATGGACAGTCAATGTGGGGATGAAATGCATTTATTTAGAAGTATTATTTCCTCACTGCTTCATGAGAGGGTTTCCTGTGATTTTATATTTATTAATTCTTTTATATCTGTATTAACAGAACTCCCTAGGTTTTCTGCCATAAATTAGATTCAAAGTTTAACTGAATTATAGATATTTTATTGTTAAATAGTAGTTATTCTAACTCTTATGTCATGCTTTTGTATTCATCCAATTATATGGCAGTAGAACCACAAAGTCTCTTGAAAGATTAGTTTAACAATTGGGAGATAAACTTTCAGATTCTTGCCATGTTAGATGAGAGGGCTGATGCAACTCATGTGTATGCTGAATATGAAGCTGTTAGCATAGCATGCAGACTCCTAACAAGAGGAAACAGCTAGCTTGTCAACTTCCTGCAGTGGAGTAAAAGTACAATGTTTCCTTCTGAAATGTATTGACTAGAAGTATGAAATACCACAAAATGCAAAAAGTAATGTAAAATACAAATGACCCCACTCCCTGGTTTGTGCATCCTCTGTAGAAGTGGAGAGTAGAGACAGCCCACTGCAGATGGAGAGAATCATTGATCCTAGTGTGACTCACACTCTGTTGGATGAACTGGATCCCAACAGCTATTACAGCTTCAAAGTGATAGCATGCACTGCTGCTGGAGATGGGCCTCCCATCACACGGAGGGGAGCCACCCTGCTCGAAGGAGGTGACATTACATTGATCTCTGTACAGCACTCTACATGACAAGTTCTTGTTTACATGGAGTCAAGTGCTTTTTTATTGCTCCTTTCATTTACATCATTGCAACGTATTAATTTCTTTATTCCTGGTTGCCTTTCTTCAAAACCTTTATCGGTCCAGTTCCTCCATCAAACATCACCATAGTCCCTGGTAACACATCACTCAACCTCAGCTGGGTGCCCAGAGAGCGGGATAGGAACTGTGGCTTCCACATCGACTACTTGAGAAAGACTGGTAAGAAAAGGATGGAGGGAAGAGAAGGAGAAAGAGGAAAAGGAAAGTATAGTGCTGATGGGTGCATAATGGATAATGAGTCTAAGGAAATAATGGAGAAGGAGAACAGAGAGGGAAATGGAAAGAGAAGAAGACACCATTATCGATTATTAAATGAGCATGTGCTTGCATGGGTTTGTCTACTGTCTGTCACCATGTTACATGAAGTGGAAATGCATACAAGACCAACTGAAGCAGAATTACTAGAATACAGAAAAGAGAAAGGGCAAAGTTGATTGGTAAAAATAAAAACAAGGAAGAAAATAGAGAGAGTAGATGGAATCCAGAAAGAATAATGAAATATTTATTAGTAGAGAATATGATACTAATCTAAGATGTTTGTGTGTGTGTGTTTGCTGCAGCCGAAAGTAAATGGGAAAAGTCAGAAGTGGTGAACTCCACGCAGGGTTTCTATTCACTAACAGGCCTCCAACCGGGAACTCAGTACCACCTTAAGATCAGGCATGGAAACTACACTCAGTGGTACATTGTGACATGGACCATAGGACCAGGTATTTGTGTAGAAACACATACACAGTAGCCTACAGTGGATGCCATGCGGGACATGTTTCAACACACAGATTGGAGCTAAATTTGCAATGTGCAAAATAAAACTTGAATAAGAACAGTATGTTCATGATAAGAACAAAAAACTTTTCATTTCTTTTTGTTCTGTGTAAATTGGTATGCACAGATAGTAGTAATAGTAGTTTTAACATTTGTGGCTGATAGGGAAAAAACAAATACAGACAACTGATGTTTGGAAAATAACAAATTCCAACAGTTTCAGTTTTTTTTTTTCATGTTTTCTAAACGGCTTGTTCTTACATAGTACAAAACCAGTCCGCTGATTTCATTGTGATTACTCAATGCTAATCGATAGGTCAACCGCATTAAAGGCACTATTTCTTTCACACCTGGGTAGCATCCCTTCATCACAGTGTAGACCTAGCTTGCTGATATCTACAGTAGTTCTCCAAAGTTGCACGTGTCTGTCAGTCACACTTCTAAGCATGTACACTGCACCATCTCAGGGTTTTGTGGATTAAGTCCCAGTGTCAGATGTTTTTTGATTACAAGTCTCAAATCAGACTGCTTTACTTCACACATTCACTACCAAACATGTGATGTCAGTACGTGGACTCTGTGTGTGGCTGTCAGTGCCACATCAGTGCCCTCCTGCCAGATGTTTCTCTCTTTCTCACATTGCAGCGTAATCAACTGTCTGACTGTCAAAGTACTTGATCCTGGTCAGGGTGACAGTAAGAGCAGCACAGCAGTGCAGCAAATGCAAACTTTACCTCAGCAACTTGCTCACATGCCACCTGCAGCATTTCATTATTATATGACTATTATTATTACCTTATTATAATAATGTTTTTACATTATTAGAGGTTGCTGATGAATCAGGTATAGAGTTTTCTTATTTTTCTCTTTCACACTTTTGTTTGGTATCAAAGATATTTTCAGTCTTGTTGGCAGTTTTTCCTCTGTCTGTCAGTGCCATCTGAGATGCCTGGTAGATTTGCCACACAAGGCTGGTTGATAGGACTCATCAGCGCCATCATACTGCTGGTGTTGATACTGCTCATCCTCTGCCTCATCAAACGCAGCAAGGGAGGCAAATACGCAGGTAGGACAAACTACACATTCATATACACTACTGAACATACACACTGACACAAAAATGTAAGTCTATAGGCAGGAGTTTGATGCTGAGATTGTTTCCTTCAGTGAAGGACAAAGAAGACAAGGAGGTGGACTCAGAAGCTCGACCAATGAAAGATGAGGCCTTTGGAGAGTACAGGTGGGTCTTCTCTCAGCCCCAGCCAGAAGCACCATTTTGATTTGTTTCTTGGGGATCGTCTGAAACATATAAATATTAATACAAGCCTACAAACTGTGTAAACAGCAGGAAATCATCATCAGGGTGAGTCAGTTCATTTGTGAAAACAACTTTTTAACCCTGTCACCACAGGCAAACTATATACATTATTTGTTACATTCTCCAGTCATCCTTAATGAGGCATCTTTTTCAGTCATCAAGCTCAAAGTTTATCATTATAAAAGGAAGAAAATATCTGAGGAAATATAATAAATGCTCCATCTCAGTGTCTGAAGTAGTGTGTGGGTGTATTTGATTGATAGCAGCTGGTAGACTTTGGGAGTGGTGGTGGGGGAATAACAGAAAAAGTCAACAAACTTAAATGGCTTACAAACTAAATGTATTAAAGAGCAAAAAGTACAGCTGTATCTAAGCTGACCAGTTTATCTGAGCATCTAATTAGCTATCCAACCTGCAAGATGAAGCTAGCATCCCAGGAATTTAAACCTGGAACCAGCGTAATCAGTTTATCATCCTTACTGCCGGGATTTTGGTAATAATTATTGAGATTGCCCAGTTGATGTTTAGCATATGAGTTTTCTCTCAGCGGAAGCCAGTGTGGACTCTCTCCATTACAGAGCTGAGAGTGCTTTTAAGAGGAAGGACAGAAGCTGATTTGATTGATGCTGATTAGCGTCCTCACCAACACACCCACCGTGTTCCTCCTAATCCCATCCAGTTTCTAACGACTGGCCCTGTGCTGCTTTATAATGTCTTGGGCTTGGAACAGTGCATCACTATAACCAAACAGGAACCTGAGGGTTTTCATTCCAATATGAAACAAACAGTTATTTATTCATTCTGACATATTATCAACATAAGAATAATTGTGATAATTTTGTCATCTACAGTTTTGCTAAGCTATAGTTTATGTTGTTGTTTTCCTACAGTAGTTCAGATTTTAATCATTTATTTTGGAAAGAAACCTCTAAATTCTATTTATTTTCACTTAATGTGCACTGTTGTTTTTAGCTGCATGTTTCATTTCACCATTCAGTTAATGCTCCCAGCTCTCCTTCCCTGATATCTCACTTTTCTTTGTTCCCTTAATGCTCTGCCTGTAGATCCCTGGAGAGGTGAGGAAGTTACTCTAATTGCCTTTTTGTAGCTCTTACATGCATGTTTCCTTCTTGTGCCCATGACTGTGTTGTGATGATGTATAATTGCATTTAATTAAACTAATGACTTCATTGGGCAACCCAACTGTAACTAGATAGAGTTGGTTTTAGTTTTGGAGCTTTGTTTTTGCTGTTGTGCTCAGGCTAATGACATCTACTGGCATTGGCTTTTTCTACATGACAATAAGGCCTAGACTCATGGGAAATTACAGGTGGTGGCCATGACATCATCCTAATGAATCCAGGAGAATCTTGTGCTTCTGTGTTCAGGAACATTTAGGATATCACTTAAGACATTTCTGAAATATGAACACAGAATAGGGAATAATCCTTACAGAAACAGTGGTAACAGGACATTCCAGTAGTGCCCAATGCAGTTATTTACCTTGTTGGCAGGGAGGAAGCGTTTATTTCTAATTTTATCTGTTCCTCATTTACTGCACATTCATTCATTCATTTTCTACCGCTTAGTCCCTGAACGGGGTACACCCTGGACAGGTCGCCAATCCATCGCAGGGCTAACACATAGACGAACAACCACACACACGCACACACACACATTTACTGCACACTCAGGACTTATTCTATGCTCACCTACTGTATTGATACACTAAGTTATAATGACCAAAGTATAGCAAAGGAAAAAATACTAGACTTAATGTTGATGTTACTGATCATATAAGTACTGTGGAAATGACTTATTATACTATTATAATACTAGATTTACCATGTAAGTTGTTGTAGTAGGGTGCAAGTAATTTCAGCCCCATTCATGTGTTCAGCTTTTATCAGCAACTGGTCTTTTATATGAGAATTTACATTAATGACTGGTTGTGTTTGTCTGTCATCTTTCAGTGACGGAGATGAGAAGCGTTCAGACAGCCAGCCGTCTCTGTGCGGGGACAGTAAGCTGGGAAGTGATGACTCTCTGGCTGAATATGGTGACAGTGTGGACATCCAGTTCAACGAAGATGGTTCTTTCATTGGCCAGTACAGCGGCCGAGGGCCCGTTCCCCATGGCAACGAAAGCTCTGGTCCCACCTCCCCTGTTAACGCAGTCCCACCTCCCCCCATTGCTCCATCCATGTCAAGCATCCTGAACCGGCCCAGCTAAACACACAAACACCAAACATAAACATAAAATACACACACACACACACACACACACACACACACACAATCATACTGCCTGCCTGCAACAGAACAGAAGGGACAGACCAGTTCTGTCTCAACTGCCTGTGATGTTACACAGTGAGAACACACACACACACACACACACGCATACATATACACTGTCTCAATACATTCCACATGTTTATGCAGTGAAGCTGTTTACAAGATGTCTCGCTTTTTCTACTCTAAGTTCACACACACCAACACACACACACACACACACACCGAAGAACACACCTACAAACAAACATGCAAAATCAGACAGCCTTCACTCCTCTATAAGAAAGAAAGAAAGCCAGAGAGAGGTGGAAGGCAGGGGGGGGAAGATGATAGCTGATGATGATGAAGTGAGTGAGGCGAGGCAAAGAAAAGGGAAAAAGTCATTTCATCATGTCTGTGACCAAAATGTTACCACCTTATTTCAGTCTTGTACACACATTTAAGCCTTGGGTTTCATTAACACGTGTAAAGTCATATTTGATTTTAAATGTTATATCATTTTATATACTGTATGCATATATATAAAATCATCATCAATAACATTTATTTTTTCTTTTTGTGCATCATTGTCAAACATCTCCACTCTATCTCCACTCTATTTATTTGTGTTTGTGTGCATGAGCCTGGGAATGATTTTGTTATTTATTGATGTGTGTGTGCAGCTGTCTGAGTGACTCCAAGACCTAAGATGCATGCCCCTCCCTGAGGCATCTATAAATCATCCAGTTGATGTTTAGTATATGAGTTTAAGGAGTGACTGTTACTTTCATGTGTTTGTGTTGCTCATGTGTGACTGTTTGTGCTCTCCATCCTTGCCCTTTGACCTGCAGTGATGGGAGATCTGTTGCCTTAAGAGTCCAGTTGAGGCTCCTCTCCTTTCTGTCCATTCATCACTCTTCTATTTCTCCTCACACTCATTTCTTTTACATCCTTCTCCTGCTTGCTCAGAAAATAAAATGCAGGACAGAATGTTATGGTTGCCCTAGTAGCTTGATGTACTGCAACTTAAAAAGCATATGCAAACTAGCGAAACATAAGGAAATGATGAAAACAGCTACCAATCTGACACATGCACAGCATTTAGAAAAAAAGATGCAGCAAACTGACAACGTATTTAAAAATCTGTTCTCTGTTTCTACAAAGAACACAGAACAGAAATGAGTTACAGAAACAAAAAAATGTAATTCACTTAAAGGACATGAGATGCTTGGTTTATAGCATATACATATGTGGAATAATACCTGAATCATGCAGTCAGAATGTTAAAATTAAAAAAAAGTATATCATTTGCTCATTTCCCAGCAATAGTAACTTCTTTAATTTCATGGCAGATCGTGGCAACAAACGGTGTGTCCCTGGTGTGTCATCATCCTTTCTTAGTGTGGTTGTTCTGGTGTTCACTGGGTTCTTTGTTTGTTTTTGTCCAAATGCTGAAATATGAAATTGATGAGGTGATTATATATTGTGCATTTACATGTGTTGCCTTAGGTTTCACTGCACTGAGCTTTCAGGTAGAGGTGTTATGCTCCAAGCAGATGCTCAGCACATACCTCATTTACAACACCAAACATTATGTGACCACTCCTGACAAGGCTGTGTTGTGTCTAACTCACATCAAAGAGGGTTTGCACTGGTTCTGAATCCAGGATGGCCTTACCATTCCACCAGAGTGTTAAAATACAAAACTGTAAACTTAGCTTGAGGTGATGCTTTTATAATGCAAACTTTATTGAACAAATAATAATGAAAGCAGAATGATCACTTGTATACTAAGTGATCATGGTCTCAGTTTAATCCATCCATACAGTAGCAAACATTGGTCCAGTAGACTTCATCATCTTTGACTGCATAAAATGCTTTGAGGCAGTGAACTATTTTCAACAGTGCTTCACAGCGATTCCGTTTGGTTCCTTCATCACTACTTTCAGGGCATTGCAGAATGTGGTTACAGACAGAAAGACACTCCTATGCACACACACACATCATACACTTCACTTCACATCACTTGTATACCAATGCATACATGAAGTGGAGGCCTGTGAAAACCAGATGGCAGCCCTCTGTAGCAAAACTATAACAGACCCTCCAAAGGAGAGAGGGAGGACTGAAGAAGAGGAGGAAGCATTAACAGAAATAGAGAATCTGATGTATTGTTCTCTGAATGTAAATAGAACCTTGAGATTGCCATTTGTTTTAATTTCATTGCTTCTTTTATAAGATAAACTATGTTTTTTAATTATCCATTGCTCTGTTTTATTTTGTACTGCAGTGCTCCTGCGGTGTAGCAACCACCACCATCTCCTCATAGGTTTTCCTCACAATTTTCCCTGCCACATACAGTAGACACCAAGAGACATTTAGAGAAAGCTAGAATCATAGCAGGAATAACTACCACTTCCTTTGGATTTGTTATAGCACTTGGAGATGCAGCTGGTAATATTCATTCTGAAGAAGTCATAATAAATGTTAACATTTAAACACCTCACTAAGGCAGAGATGTTATAATGGACATGGGTGAGATGCACTAGCTTCTGCAGTGTTGGATGAGCCGATATTAGAAATCTGTTTAAATACTGAGAGGGTTTATTTTGTTGCCTTGGAGTGAAAGAGAGGCTGCACTTTTGGTGCTACCCATTGTGGCTGCATCTGTGCCAGACAAACTCAGTTAGACAAAATGCAGTATGTGAAGGAGGTTTACACACCAGGGACTTCCCATGAGCTTGGAGTCAGAGCTTAACTTTGTTTTATTTTAAATATTTATTTATTGTGTTCCAGCGAGGGACTGGAAAGATGAGAAACACCCTACAAATATATGATTTGATGTTCTTTTTTCTCAGTCATTTCTTTAAAAAAGCTTGTCATTGTAGTTTTTAATAAACAAACAGGAAATAGTGCATTTGTCAGATCTGTTTATGTTCAGCAGTGAATGAAGCCACATTTGGTGCTCTAGTGAATGTCTGGGGCAACAGGACAGTGTGAAGCCACAGTGCCACTCAGTGCAACAGTGTGGCTCACCTGTATGTTTTAAATAGTTTCTGGACAACTGGGGAGCTCTGTGGTACAGAGGAATATGATGAAGTAGATTTAGATGCACATAGATTTAGGGCTTTACATGGGATTGTTTTTCAAAATAAATATTTTAGAGAAAGCAAATGGATCCTTAGAGTTTGAATTTTTTGCATTCTAATCATCCCTAATCTATAAATTACAGCAGTATTTGCTTTATATGGAACTCTGCAATTCATGTAATGAGCAAACTAAAAATTTAACGTGAACTACATGGTTGGTGAACTTTACTTGCCTTGTTTTGCACTGGAATAGGACTTTGGCCTCTCAGACAAAAGGACACAGAAAAATGAACACAGTCCTTCCTTCTAGAAATGTAATAGTCCACAGTCTAATCTCAGTTTGCTGCCTTGTTAAACGTCTGTCAGGCTCCTGTGTGTCTCTGCTCCAACCCTAATGTTCACTGTTTGTACAGTCCTGTCTGTCTGTCTGTCTGTCTGTCTCGGTTGCAGCCTTCTTTTATACATATAAACACTATCAGAAAAAACACAACATAAAAACTAGTTACAAAAAGTAGGTATAAACAATACTGCTAATAATAACAGTGCTATTATCAGTTATGATAACGTGCTCAGTATTGTCATCAGTAGTGATGATATCAGTAAGTAACACAATGAAATGGATCAGTATAGCAGGATTTAGCAGGGAAATTACAGTGGAGGTGAGGGGCAGCTGTACTGTGCGTATGTGTGTGGGGGAGGGAGGCTGGGCAAAGGTGGGCTTCAACACACACATATACAGGATTGGGGTGGGATGGGGGAGGAGGTATATGCAATATTGAGATGTGCTGATATTATACCTGCTTGTTGCATTGTGCGCTATACTGTATCTGACAAACTAACCCCAGACTGTCAACTAATAAATAAACTTGGACTACGCATATCCTGAGTGGACCTCAGCTAGTGGTTCTTTGCCTCTGCGTGTGTGTGTACTTTTTTTTGAGCTGACAGGAGAAGTAGCATGTCTCTGCAAGCAACATTGTGGATTCCATGTGGATTCTAGTTTTCATTGTATTGTAGACATAATGGCTTGACATATAACCTAAAGCAACATCTTGTTTCATTTGATGTTTTACATTCATGCTAACTTCAAATGCACTTGCCAAAACTGTTAGTTATGTAATGGCTGTTTGGGGTAGGGATGGTTGTAACAGTGCATCCCCATATGACCATCCTCTTAACCCCTGAAGCCCAGTGACCAAGAAATTCTGACACCTCTAACATTGAGAAGCTCTGCAATGTGTGCATCAGCACTTGGCAAACTCAAGACCAAAAGAAGTGTGGGTCAGGTATGTATTTTATCAGCTCTGGGCCCACAATCCTGCACCCCAGAGGCAGTGTCTGCATTGCCACATCTGTAACACACACACACAAACCCTTGCATTGTCACTTTACAGGACTTTATGCTGACTTGCATTAATTTCCTGGAGACTTTCCCTGACTTTACCCCAACCACTACGTGCCTAACCATAACCATAACCTAACCTTTAAATTGTTCAGTTTATTTAAAACCACTTTATTATTAAATACAATTCAAGCATTAATTGGATAGTGTTGATATTTTTCAGTAAATTAGATATTTGAGCAAATAGAAGGGGTCACTGTCTTCACTATCGTTGCCAGTCTCCATATGCGTTTTGATGAACCGGTCCAAGTTAGTCTAAGTCTCGCGACGATTTTTATTCCCACTGCCCCCATGCAAATATACACAGCGCGCAGCATCGTGCTCGTCGTGGGAAGCTCTCAAGAGGGACAGAGAAGAGGTGTGGCGGTAAATGGGAACAAGTAGTATTTGTACAAAGACTAGTAGTACTGTTTTCACAGTAGGTGTTTTCTACGCTGTATTGGCATAGGAAGAAAGAGGCCGTAATGACAGGTAAAACCTGGAGGACTAGTCTCCCTGACGCAGACAGTGCGTGTGAGTATGTGACTGACCAGCGGCTGGAATACTAAATTGGAGGGAGCGCACTAAGGAGAAGGACCATCATTTTAGGGCTATTTGGCAAGCTACAACTTGTCTTTGTCGACCATCACACATTAACAGAGCGGAAGCAGGGACGCACAGTGTGAACAGGCTACATGCTACTTATTCACTCAACAAATACACACGCACAGTTCGCCAGGAATAGATCTGAAGGATGAATGGAGCTACGATTAAGCAAGATGGAATCAAGCCGCAGGGGGGCGCGGGGAGGACGCTACGGTTTCAGCGGGGGCGTGGTGAGTGACAGCACAGCTATGCCCAGCTGAGCATCATGTAATAGGTTACAAACACGCATGCACACTAATTTCCTCCTTGTTCCATTCACTTTAGTAACAGTGAGAAACACTGTGTGCGTGTACGTGCGCGCGAGCCCGTGCAGCAGAATGTGGTCCCATTCTGATAAAAGAGGCGGTATTATGGCCCTTTTTGACCCGTTTTTGCCGTAATGTTTAACAGTTAGGATCGGACTGTGGCGATGTCATTACTCTTGACCGTCAGGATTTGCTCCTTTTATCACTCACCTCCATATCACCTGCTCTCCCTGCCCTGTCAGCATCCTTGTAGACTCTTTCTCTCTCTCCTTCTCTCTCTCTGTGCAGATTCTCGGTCATCCAGGTCATAGTAAACTGAAAAAACTTAGAAAAACTCAACTGGACCAGATTTCTAGGTCGAAGACGTTTCACCTCTCATCCAAGAGGCTTCATCAGTTCTGACTGACTGGCGCTGAGCTGGAGAAACGCCACCGAGGGGGATAAATATCTCCGACTCAACACCAGAGGAATGCCTTACCAGCCATTTCGGATCTGAATGCAATTATTATACCAACAACCGCATCATTTGTAGCACTGTATGCTTCTATCATTTTCTCACTGCTCTCAACTTACTTTGTTTTCTGAGGCACAAAAACTGGCCACACTGCCACCCTTCCTCTTGCTCGTGATACTCACTGTGAACTAAAGCTGATTGTAATAAAACAGCTAGTACACAAGCATTAATAATTGTATTTATCATAAGCAATTGCAGCTACAGCCATGACCAAATATATTGGCACCCCTGCATTTCTGTCACATAACCACCATTTCTCCCAGAAAATTGTTGCAATCACAATTTCTCTGGAATTCTCATGGTTATTTCTTTTGTCTGCATTGGAAACAACACAAGCAGGGAACAAGCTTAATCTGATACATTCCACACAGAAGTCCAGGTTTGGAGCCAATTCCATCTGACATTGGGCAAGAGGTGGGGTCCACCCTGGAAAGGTCTCCAGTCTATCACAGGGCTGACATGTAGACAAACAACCACACACACCCACACTCACTCCAAGGGAAAATGTAGTCACCAATCAACCTAAGCTGGAAAGGTCTCCAGTCTATCACAGGGCTGACATGTAGACAAACAACCACACACACCCACACTCACTCCAAGGGAAAATGTAGTCACCAATCAACCTAAGCTGCCTGTCTTTGGCCTGTTTGAAGAAGCCGGAGTACCTGGAAGGAACCCACACAGGATAATTGGATTGGATAATTATATATCCAATCTCTTTATTTCTAAAATCCTTAAAAAAAGCTCCTGCAAAGCAGTTATGTGACCACTTACACAAGAATGATTTGTTTGAGGATTTTCAGTCTGGTTTTAGAGTCCATCATGATACAGAAACTGCATCGGTGAAAGTCACCAATGATCTCCTCCTAGCCTCAGATAAAGGACTTGTCTCCAATACTTGTCCTCTTAGATCTCAGTTCTGCTTTTGGCACCATTGATCACAGCATCTTACTGCAGAGATTTGAACATGTTAGTGAGATTAAAGGAACTGCACTAAGTTGGTTCAAATCTGTGTGAAAACCTCCAGTACTGGTGTGAGGAACCTTGAAGTCATTTTTGACCAGGATACTGTATGTCCTTTAAATCACACATAAACCAAGTCTCTAGA